ACAGGAAAGAAGACGAAGCGATGCTATAGCATGAATGAATCTTACTAAACGACTTGTGCTAACAGGAAAGAAGACGAAGCGATGCTATAGCATGACTAAATCTCACTAAACGACTTGCGCTAACAGGAGAGATAGAAGACGAAGTTTCAGCTTTGCTGCTTATAATGTCAATTATAGGGCAAACAGCATTACATATAAGAAAAAAATTATAAGGAATTCTGTTATGGGACGACGGCTCTCGGTATGAGCTTCGGGATCTTTATTATACTTTTCTGTGTTGAACTTATTTCACAAGCTGTATTTATAATAATTCTATAACAGGTTTCAGTCTATAATCAATGTGATAGTATCGTTGAATCATGATTGGCTAAAAGAATAAGTAGATTCCTTAGCACGATATTCTATTGATTAAACATAGCTTAAACTAAAGTTAATATATGAATATATTGTTAATGTATAGGAAAGGCTACAAGGAATATTTCTATCATAAGATTCTAGAGAATAATCCTAAAATAACTAAGCAAAGGGGTAAAAACTGTGTAGAGCGTAACCAGAGGTACAAATGCTAATGGCAGGAGCTAAGAGGTTTACTTGTGAATTCAAAGCATACCATTATCTAAACTTGTGTGTGATGGTAGCCTTACTGAAATGTTATATCGATATTTTTATATAGCTAATTGATCGTTCTTTATCTTGTTTTCATAAGATAAGAAATAGTAATTAGAAAACTGATGTCTTGCTTAGTCTGTAAAAACATTCATTTTCTCTCTCATAACAATTCTATAGAAAAATGCACCTCAGGGATGGCACAGCTTGGGAACCAACACATTTTTCATAGTTTTCCAAAGTTCTCGAAGCTATATTACATATATAAGACCCTCGATTAAAATTTCATAAGGAATTGTATAGAAAAATGCCAAATGGGATGGCAAATCTTGGGAACCGAAACATTTTTCATAGCTTCACAACGTTTTTGAAACCATGGACACTGGATTAAGGTTACTGGAGACCTTCGTGGGTAACTCCCCCCCCCCCCCCCCAAAGTTATTGAAAAAAAACCAACAAACGATTTGAACAAAAAGTAAACAAATCACCTAAGGTGTAGTAATTCACCACAATCCTATCGGAGTAGTGCTGGTAATTTGTGGAACTTTTCAACGCTATATTGATTCCGTTAGTTCTGGTTGGCTGGCGGTATCTTTCTGTTGACAGACATCTTAAAACTTTCTTTCTCTCTGATCGATTTTACGCCTATTCCCTATCTTTATATGAATTAATAGGGGATATTTGTACATTATCTATTGCTTATTCATATGGTGAAATTCTTTTGTCTATACGCGCTTACGACATGTGTAGATGTACCCGATTCGTGTTTAAGGCTCCGGCATTGTTTCCAATTATAAAATCGCTTTCAAATACTGTAATATATTTTTCGTAATCTTTATCATCTGACCTTTAAAACGATATATGGTTTTATATGGTTTTGTTGGACGTGTTGCGTAGAGAGAGTATATATATTATTATATATAAGATATTCTCGAGAATTTCATAAGGAATCGTATAGAAAAATGCCCCTGGATGGCAAATCTTGGAAACCGAAACATTTTCCCACCACCACGACATTCTAGTCAAACGATTATAAACTGAAACTTCAACTTTTTACTAATACCAAGGTGCTCTCTTTCATTTCTGGTGTCTGCTCGTTGTGCTGAATAAGGTCACGTGACGTGTTACTTTAAATACATTTGACGAATCAAAAAACAATTACACATATCAGCATTCTTTGAGAAAATAAAAGGTCGGACTGCAGCCTAGAAAAGATGACAAAATAAGACAGACAAACGAGCAAGCCATAAGTTCCTCAAACAAATTCGCAGCCAGGATTCACTTGTTGGCGGACTGCAATTAAAAACAAGCTTTACATCTTTACAGTGCAAATAAAGATCAGTCAAAAGCGGCCACTAACAATGCCACCGGCCTTTCACTTAAACACACGAAAGAGCTCCCTGAATACACCTGCATTTTTCTTTATTACTCTTTCATATGAACAGCAGTTTGAGATTCTCACAGCATTGGCCATAATTCGGTTAGATTTTTTTAGGAAGCAAGAATGGTGTGCACTGCTAATGCGACACCTCGCACACCTGTGTCTAATAGTTCTCAATCCTGTTCAGGTGTTGAAATGGGAATTTTTCAAGAACAGTTTCAAATTGTTAGCTATATCAGGCATGATATTTTCGTGTATTTTGAAGCTCTTTTAGGAAAGTGTCTTGTAGTGTTGCGTAGCAACGATGTTCAATTCGTTAGGCACTGAGTTATTTCCAAACAAATAAAAAAGTACGAGGTTTCTAGAAGTGCGCAAGACGTTATAGCCGCCATGTCGCAAAGCAAAAATGAAAGCTAAAAAAAGAAATGAGACAAATAATCGAATACCGCCGTCAAGATCTGCACAAATAAGGTTGATTGATCTCGTTAGTATTCCCCCTTCACTTTTAACAGAAAGGAAAAAAAAGGATTCATGTTAAGTAGAGCAAACATCATTTCAGACACAAGTGTGTAAACAAAAAATATAAAAACTTTTTCACTTGATTAAAAAGAATGGTCCAATTTTAGCAAATAAAGATCGCAAAGAATTCAATGTACGTTAAATGTGCAAAAAAGAGTGCGTTAGTGGAAAGAACTAATTGATAGCAATATTTTAAAGAATTTATTATTTTTCGTAATCATTTAGTCCTGTAAAATTATTGTTTTTCTACTTATATGTCACGCACCTAACTGGAAGAAGGTTGTCATATAAAAAGCAAATTGCCCTAATTCACTATGACTTCACATCAAAACAATCTGTCTAAACGCAAAGGATCATGGTCGTCGTAGGGGGTCAAATCAACGCAAATTCACAAAACTTTTTTTCTAAAACCCGTATCAATCCACGAAGAGAAGTAGAATAGCCAGCAAACACTCAGAATATTTTTTAGTACATATCAACATATATTATATCTGAAAACCAGACCATTTTAGATTAAACTGTTTCGCTAGGAGCAAATTTTTGTTGAATTTTCTATTGGATTTGGCGATTCTATCCCCCACATAAACAAGCTGTTCATTTGAAATAACGGCGGATAGCACGAATTCAGGTAAAAAAAAAGTAATTTTTTATGCTTTTCTTCTATAAACCCATTTCATGTGCTTTTATATCTTTATATCTTGTGAAATAATGACTGGCTGACCTCGTTTTCCTGCACTTGTCAGCCATTATGAGAGGGTGTATTCCTATTTGGTATCTTATTATTCGTTTTATTCGTATTATTCGCTTGACAACGTTCTTGCAATTAGGTGTACACCGTTGGTAAGAAAAACGATAATTAAAGAACGTAACGAGTAACCAAACTAAAGAAAAAAAATTTAAAAAGCATATTTAAAATTGAGGAAAAAAAAAAAAAAAACCGTGCTTCATTAACGTTTTAAAAATTTATTCATTAAAAAAAACGAAGACGAAAAGCAAAGTTATTGTTCAATATGAAGCCTATGTACGATATATTGGACTTAATAATGGAGCATCTAATAAAAATGTCAACTTCACGAAAACACATCAAAGGCTTTTCTCTAGAAGGAAATTAGGTCTCTAAAGATTGTTATTATAGCTGTTGGGAAGGGCATACATTGATCTTCGTTAACTGAATACGAACTAATAATGTTGTTCAGCTGTCTTTCTTTTTTGATTGTAGACTTTGGACAAAATCAATTTTTACATTTCATGGTCAATGAGGAGCACAGCTTTGCAGGTGATTCGGAATCTAGGCGCGCGATACATTGTTTTTCACAATCGCGAAAAGTATTTTCTAACCCTAACCTTTATCTCTTGTCAAAAGGAAATATTTTCCTCCAAAGGCGACGACTACACACGTTATTTCGAAGAGATATTTGGTGAATCTTTTCACAGATGAGTTTTATTTTCTTTATTATCGAGTACAATCTTTTGTTTATTTAGCTATGATCAAATGTACGCTGATTGGYTTATAAGTTCACAGGGCTGAGAGGATTGAAATAAATTGGTTGTATCTGTAATTACAATTTTTTTTCCAATAAGAGATGCACAAGATAGGAAACTTATACTCCACGCCACATTAATTTCGGCCAACGCTTTTCGGTAAAAGGTTAAAGACAGAACATCATGTTAAAAAAGCGAATCAATATCTTAAATTGTTTCCGTTGAAAAATGAATGAATTAAGTTAAAGGTAAAACTAAAACGTGTTTCGATTCAGATTACATAGTCTTTTAACTACGATTAGTATCTTTAAATGAAACATATAATTACTATCCATTTTTCCATCAATTTATTAAACTTGGGAGCACTTGGGAGGCCAAAGAAAAAAACTAAATTAAGAAAGTCTTGTATCGTGCAACTAGTAATACTAAATGCTGGTCATTATGACTGGAAAAATCAAATTTACAATAACCTTCATGTCACCATGAGCAAAATAATGATGCTTTTAAAATACTGTTTTTATGAACCAGTTATATTTTGTATACTTATTGAAGTCTTTTAAGATACCTAGATATACGAGAGCTTAAGAGCTAAAGTAGCCTGTTCCGATCTAATTTATTGATGAAAGAAGTGCGACAGTTACAAAGAGGTTAAATACATAATACTCATTTCCTGTCGGTTTGTGGGTTTTTGGGGGGGGGGGGGGGTAATAAGCCTTTTATTGGAATAAACTAGAACTTTGAACCTGTAAAAAATGATTTTTCTTGCAATGAACTTTTTTTAACTGTTTGTTGTTTTTTCCCCAATAAACTTGAACTTGAACAAGTAATAGCAGGTGCGCCTCTATTACCTTACATAACCGTTCAGCGAATCCTGTTATAAAGCGAGGAGAACGCGTCGCCGAATCAGCGAATTTTAATAATGTCATAAACGTTGCGCATTTAGCTTGAGCATATTGTCAAATTTTTTTCCTCGAAGATTTATCGCTAATAGAAAAAACAACAAATAAATAAACTGCGCGTACAATTAAGGCAGGAATTCGACCACGAAGAAACAAGCAAGCAGACCAGCTCTTGAACGAAAATGACCCATATATGGATATTAATGACCCATATRAGGATAATGATGTGGAATGAGGTAATGTAATACTATTTGCGCAATCTTACCTGGGATTGACGTCATCAGCGAAAATAACGAGGTGGTTGTCTCTGGGTTTATACTTGACTAGGTGTACAGAGTCCTGCACGTCACTGACTGCAATACGCGTACCCATGCTTTTGATCTCCACTATAAAGTTGGGCAGTTTCTAAGTCAAGGGAAAACAGACGTTATTTAAATATCACAAGAGATTGGTTAATCTCCTACCCTATAGTTTGTTTTCCTCCTAAATGGCGGCCCTGTCTCTTCCTTACTAACCTCACCCTGTATCAGAGGGTCGTAAAACAACCACTGGAGACGTAAAGAAAATCTGGCAAGGAACACCCCTAGTGTCTACCCCTATGATGGTGAGAGCCCCGGGGAGGGGGGGGGGGGCGGGAAGGGGATACTCCCCTATATTCGCTATACGGGTACGTGCCGCCAAACAGGGTATGGTTTTCAGCGATTCTACTCTGGAACACGGTATATAATATCGCGCTCGCTATCATTCTCTTGGTAATGATTGAAAATATCTATTGAAGTTCTTCCTTAATGGGCGTGAAAGAGAGACTGCAGCCAGTGAGGAATGAACAATTTAGTATGTGCGCAGGTGAGAGTGTTTTGTGCAAATAGGTATTCCTACCTTATTTTCGCATTTCCTAAGCATTTTTTTCTTGCCAAGGTCATAAACTCGAAGCAGACGACCAATTCCAACTAACAGTCGACCCTGCAAATCAGAACAGAAGAAAGGTAAAACGAGGGGAAAAAAGGTCAATTTTGGAGAAGGAAGGAAAGGACAGAGAAGGAAAGTGTTAGAAAAAGAAAGCATATGGGAAGGGAGGGATGAAAGAGAAGGAAAGGAAAACAAAGGGACAGGTAAGGCGGAAAAGTCAAATTTATCTGGGAGAAGGGAGAAGGGAAGGAAGGGAGAAAACAYGGGAAGAAAGGGGCGGAAGAAAAGGAAAGAAAAGGGAAAAAAGGGACAGGAAAGGAAACAAGAGACAGGTAAGGGAAACAACTGACAGGTAAGGTAAAAAAGTAAATTTTAACTGGGGGGAAGGGAGGGAGAATGGGAGGGAGGAAAGAGAAGGAAAGGAAGAGAATGGAAGGATAGCAAAAGAAAGGGAAGGTATTAAAGGAAAGGAAGGGGGACAGACAGACAGACTTATTCAACTGACCTGGAAAGGTTCGAGGGCACCAGGTATGTCATCTACTTCAGTCTGTGAAGAAATTACATCAAAACGAATTGATTCTGCACTTTATTTTATCAATGCATCTATTTACTACCCATTCATTTACTCATTCATAAAACCATGCAGCCAGTCACTTATCATAAATCCATCCATTCATTATCCATCCAATCATTGCCAAACTAAACAACCCAGCCAATATTTAGCAGTCAGTCAGTAACCTTGTAAACACGTCAGATTAGAGGAATAGAGGAGTGAGGGTGTTAATAGTGTACTTGCTTCTCATCTCTGGGGTCTCGGGTTCAATTCCCAGACTTGGCATAACATGTTAGTAGAGTTCGTTAGGTCTCTCACTTAATTCATGGGATTTTATCTGGATCCTCAGGGTTTTTCTACCTTCACAATGGAAACCTAACCAGCTAAATTCCAATTCGATTAGAGAGTTAGCTATGCCTTGACTTTCATTAGCCCAGATGTTGTTTCAGAGTTTGATCTATGAGTTAGCCATGCCCTGACTTGGATCAGCTCAGAGGCTGTTTCTTTCTAGTTTGGAACTAGATATGCCCTGACTTGGATCAGCTCAGAGGGAGGCTGTTTCAGGGTATCGATAAAATTTGAAGGTTTTATCCTAGTCCTCACCTTGTGTTGAAACTCCAGTTTATAAGTGCCATCAGGTTGCTCGACCATTCTGTAGGCATGTAGGTATCCAGCCGCACACGAACGAGGGTTCAGAGTCATGTCCTTAGCTGTTCCAACGATAACGAATGATTCTTCTGGTCGACAGCTGAACGATAACACGCACACACTGAGAACAACAAGTACGACAAGTAAAAAAAGACAGTCAGTAATGGTATCCAGGATAATATATAAATATAAATGATAAAGCAGGCTTCACATAAACTGCTGTGCACAATGTGTGCAAAAGTAGAATTAACGGCTTGAACCAACGTGGCCGCGATAACGTAATGTCTGAATGAAGAATAGATAGAGATCGACTTCTGCATCGTTGTACGCAACATGTTTGATCGGGTGAACACGGTCTGAAACGTTGCCAGGAATGCAGTAATATTTTTAGCCCGTGAAATTCAACCAAGTGTACCGCATTGGTACTACAATTCTGCGATTTATAGGTAGCTTGCCCCAAATTATAGTTTTGGCTGTATTATTAAGTTATGCAACGTGTGACTTTACACGCAACACTGAGTTCTGGGTTGCACCGTGTGTCCGGCTAGTAATGTAGCTTTAACGATCAACGTACTGCGCATGCTTTTTTGAAAGTGCCCACTGTTTTCCTGCCAATTTTTTGGTCATGCCGAGTTCTTTCCCAAAGGGTCCTAAAAAGCAATCCTAAGAGATGAGAGCCAAATAAGAACGAAATCAAAACTGTCATCCCACATCAGCGTCCAGATAAGTTATGTCATACAAGGACGATCGTTGAAGGATTTTTTCTCTAGCATGTCTCTGGGCTCTGAGGACACGAGGTAAGACCACAGAGCAATCCTGTAAAACATGCATTTGTGAATTGAACTATTCATATATTTTGTTGAGTAGATTTGTTCTAAAACCCCTGGGGTCATAGAGATAATTGGATACCATGAGTGGCATGCGCTGCTAAGGGGACGTCTCTCACCTTTGCATATAACAGTTTAAGCAACTTGCCCCCTGATTCTCCAGTTTTCTCTGTGTCTGCGAGTTGCACGCTGAAATTTTGTGTCTTTTTTGCTGCCGTCAATCAAACCTAATCAGTCGGTACCTTTTATATTTTTGACTGGCGGCAGCGAAAAACCAAATTTCAGCGTGCAGCTCGAAGATACATAGTTTGGATGTTTATGAAAATTGTAGTAAGTGTGCTCATTGTTATGCGTGCTGCGCTGTAAATGGTTGCATCCTTTGATCATCATATCAACACATACCTGATCACTGCTTCATTCTGTTCAAGTTGTACCAAGTCCATTGTTTCTCCCTGTATCGGACAATAAACAATAGATTTTAATAGGGAAAATTGTGTTCATTTAAACTTTCTGAGATTTATTGCTGTGAGAGCAGTCTTCTGATACGCTTCGCTTTGCTTATTACCTTAGCATATTAGCCATTCCGAGGTCGAGGAAAAGACTGGGTTGAGTTGGCATTACAAACATTTATTTTCTCACTCAAGCTCTTCAAAATTCTTAGAAAACGTGCTGAAGTGCACGCATGCGCAAACGTTTTTCTCTAGTGTCGTCGCCATCTTGTCGTCTAAAACAGCCCCACAATGCATTGCAATGCCCTAGAATTGCTTACGTGAGATCAAAGGCAAAATAATATTTGACTGTAAAAGCGTTGAAAGCGCAAATAAAAATTCAGTGTATGTCGGCTGTATTGTCATCCCACATCAGCGTCCAGATATGTCAAGTCATGTAAGGACGATCGTTGAAGGATCTTTGCTCTAGCATGTCTCTGGGCTCTGAGGACACGAGGTAAGACCACAGAGCAATCCTGTTCAACATGCAGGTGTACAAATATTTAAAACTATCCAAAAATAAATACAAAAAAATCTTTCATATAAAAAATGCAAAATATTGCTTTATTTCTTAAATAAAAGTGCAAATTAAGAGCATTTAGATTACCTCATTTCAAATTGCATTTCGACCAATCATTTTATCAAGAGATGTTTATCAAACGATAAAAACGTGATGCTTAATGTGTCTATTTTCCATATAATCTAACCTTAATAGGATCAAGCACTCGCATAACAGATGCCCACATTCCATTTCCAGCTTTAGGTGAACCAAACTGCTGCTCTGACAAATCCTCGTTCAAGAACTCAGCTGCCATCTGTGCCGCCATTTCCTTCTCTTCATCACCAGCCATTTCTACCCTTTCCTGGAAAAGACATACAGACAAATTAAAAATCCAGGAAGAGAATTTTTGAATTTTCCAGGAATGGCTGTAATGTTTTCCCATTTCAGACCCTGTGTCATTCCCTAGAGTATCATTTCTATGTTTAATGAACGAATAGACCCCTTGCATGTGACATCGAAGGAGCTCAATTTGGAGGACAAAAATAAATAATCTCAATCTCCAGAAAATTGGAAACTTATGTTATGCCCAAATTGCGCTGCATTCCGAAGTGCTGCAAGTGATCTACATGAATGAATCTTATTCTCACGAAAATGACACATGGTCTGAAATAGGAAAACATTACGTCCAAGCTAAAATAGGTCAATTTTAACAAAATAGACCTCTTGCATGTGACGTCAAAGCTGCACTCCGAGGAGCTGCAAGGGGTGTATTATACAAAATCTACTCTATGGTCAAATGAACTAGTCACACTCTGGCTGTCAAATAAACTAGTCACACTCTGTCTGTCAAATAAACTAGTCACACTCTGTCTGTCAAATGAACTAGTCACACTCTGTCTGTCAAAT